CCGCTGCACCGTGCGTGGCATGACGGTGTGACACTGTGCATCCCAGCCGGCTGCCCGCGCGCTGCCTCCTCGGTCCCATCCATCACCGGCCCCTCAACCAAACCCATCGCCAGACCCGCACACCCCGCCTGCCCCCGTTCCCCCCACCCCGTCGGACGCCCCGCAGAGGCCCTCGCAACCAACAACCACCTCGGGCGCACCTTCCTGGCGACGGAAACGATGACGTCATATGAGCGGGGCGGGAACGCCAGCACCATGTCCGCGGCCGCGCCCAGCAGGCGGCTGATCTGCACCGGCTGCGGCGCGGCCCCGCTCGCGTGGCCGGGCCACGCCTGCGGCGCGTCCGGGGAGGGGTGGGTGCGGCGGAGGCGACCTGGCGCGGCGCGGCGTCCGGGGGAGCTTTGGTGCGGGGCGCACCCTCAGGGCCGCGCCCCCTGGCGTGCTGCCCCTGCGCCCTGCGGCTACACAAGCGTCCCAAGCGACGCCTGCCCTGCACTTTCCGAGGGGCAGCCTTGAGTCCCGCGCGGCCCGGCTCAGGCTGCCGCATTGCCGGCCGCGCGTCACCGCCCATCCGCCGCCCCGCCACCCCTCTCACGGCCTTCCTGCATGGACCCGGTTGGCAGGGGCAGCCAACGCCAGGATCCGCGGCCCCCACTGACCTTTTCAGCACCCCAGTCCATACGAACTACCTTGAACAGTCAACACACGACATCCCCTCATTGGATGCTGCCCCTGAGCATGGGCCTGTCCCATGACACATACACACACACACACACACACACACACACGCGCGCGCGCGCGCACGCGCATGCAGACACACACACACACACACACACAAAGCCACGCGCGTGTACGCGGTCAGCTTCACACCTGTTTGAGCTGCCCCAGTGTCCCCGGCCGCGGTGCCAGGTCGCGCCGCTTGCCCGTGCCCTCCATGTCCAGCGTTGTGAACAGAAGCCACTCCAGGGACCTTTGGGGGGGGCGGGGGTGGTTGAACAGATGAGGGTACGGTTATTCACAGTTCCCTCCCCAGACACGGCCCCCAGGCCAGGTTTGAGGGGCAGAGCATACACTCCAAGGGGCAAATCATGCACCCTCATGGGCAGGTCATCCACCCAAAGGGCCAGATAACAGACCCATTAGCCTGCAAACGCACCTGGCGAAGTGGGGCCCGGCCTCGTGGCGCTTGGCCAGCGCGAGCGCCTCCGCCTGCGCGCCCTTGAGCAGCAGCCGCCGCAGCAGGGCCGGCAGCACGGGCTGGGACTCGGGGGCGGGGTGGAAAGACGGCATGGCCAGCGGGGGCTCGCCCTGGGGGTGGGGTGGGGTGGGGGGCAAGGGAGTGATGGGCTGGTTTGGAATGGGCGACGCGGGCAGCGTCGTGATCCTTGAGGGGCTGGGTGAAGGCGGGACAGGGGTGAGGCGCCGGGCGCGCCGCGAGGGCCGGGGGGACCGAGTGGGTCGCTGCGGCCGCCGCGGTCGGCTGGCGGCCGTCGATGGTTCGCGCCTCGAGGGCGGTGCCGTCAGAAATGCGGGGCGGGCCCCGGCGCGGGCGCCCCTGGACCCCTCCTCCGGGCCCCTCGAGCACGCGAGGCGGGGCCCTATACAAAACCCCCAAAGCAGCCAAGGCGCGCCCTGGCGCGACCCCAAGGTCCAGGAGGGTCGAATAATCAGGGTTTAGGGACCCACGTGTGCGGGGTCTCCCGCGCCCAGGGGCACGCGCATCAGCCGCTGCGTGACGCCCACGATGGACGCGTCGGCGAGGGAGATGCCGATGGGGTACACCTGGCGGTCGGGCGGCGGTTGGGCGGCGGTTGGGCGTCGGTTGGGCGTCGGTTGGGCGTCGGTTAGCCGGCAAATCCGCCGCGGTCAGGGCGCGGAGAGGCGCAGGCGCTCCTAGGACAGAATGGGGAAGTCTTGCGGCACCGCCGGGCGGTTGCCAGCCGGATGCAGGGCCGTTTCTGGTGACCGCTCAGGCGTGGGGGCCAATACGCGGTCGTGTGGGAGGTTCGCCGCAACACTGCACTTCTCCCGGCTGCTGGAACGAGAAACACTCATGAACAACACACAGACATGATGTCATGCGCGCATCATCACCTCCTGGTCAAACTCGAGCTCTATGTCTGTCCCACCGCTGTTGGCCGCCGCCACCGCCGCCGCGGCCGCCGCCAGCGACTGCGACCCCGCCGCCGCCGCCGCCGCCGCCGCCGCGCCGCTGCCCTGCCTGTCAGGCGCGCCCGTCGCGCCGCCGTCGGCGCCGTCCGGGGCGCGGGGCGCGGACAGGGACAGCCGCCGCATGCCGCCCGCGTGCGAGGGCGACGGCGGGCGCGCCGGCTGCGGCAGGAGGGAGGGGAACCAGAGCTGCATGCCAGAGGCGCCATAGCACCACCAGGGCAGCTCCACGACTGCCGGGTCTGCAGGAAATTAGGATCGGGGGCATTGAGGGCGGGCGGGCCGCCAGACCGTCGGTCAGCTCCGGAGCTGGTGCGATTGATGCGGGTTTCTTCGTGCGAGCGAGGCAGGCGCAACGCACGCTTGGGGAAGGGGGGTCAGCTCCCCGCGCAGGCGCGGGGCGCGATGGGCGGCGCGTCGAGGCGGTTTTGGACGCGCTCCGCATGCGGCGAACGGGCGGCAGGCGGTCAGGCGGCGGTCAGGCAGGGTGCAGGAGAGAGGGGTGTCAGACCAGGGGACGCGCCAGAGTCGCAAGCCCGCCCCGCACCTTGCCGGGCCCTCGCCCCTTCAAAGCTGTGTGTGCGGCCAGCCCCGCCACCGGCCCCGTCGTCGCCGCCGCCCCCGCCGCCGTCACCCGGCTGGCCGGACAGCGCCCGCGACCGCGCCTGCTCCAGCGCCCCGATCGCCTCCCGCAGCGCCAGCGCCCCGCCCGCCGCCGCCGCCGACCCCGCCGCGGCGAGCGGCCCGCGCGCGTGTGTCGCGGCGGCGGGCGGCGCG